GGGTGTGGCTCGTCGCGATCCGCTTCAAGCAGCAACTCCAGAGCATATTACGCGCGCGGCGGCTGGGTTGGACCTGACCATAAGTTCCATCCGAGCCAGACTTGAAAGCAAATCCATTGTTTTCAAGGGGATTGTTGTTTTGACTTTCTGTTGTTGTTGTTGTTGTCGTTGTTGCGGTGTTGTTTTGGGAATCGTCTAACGCTAAATTATATAGCTCCCAAACCCTGACTCTAAACGAACTGAACCCCTCGACCTTTCCTCTGCCGCGACCTTTGCCTGCTTCCCCAGGAGCGGCGGCGGAAGGCAGCACGATCGTGTTCGTGGAGGGCACAAAGCTCAAGCAGCCAAACGTGCCAAGGAACAGCGGGAGCAAAAGCGTGAACACCTGGCCCGTGTCGACACCGCGCTGGAAACCATGGCCAAAATGGCAACCGTTCTCGAACGACGACTGTAGATTAAGGGATGTCATGTTTTAACTTGGAGTTGGTGTTCATGATGTGGACGTTCCTACTATAGAAGCTCATAAAAGCATTCAGTATTCATGTGGAATATATCCTGAGAACGGGGACCATTTTGGTCACGCGCAGTTCGCATGTGTTCAGACGTTGGTTTTGACAGAGCCTTGCCGGACACGCGGTGATGAGTTGAGAGACCTCAGACTGCAGAATATAGCAACGTGTAAAGTGACCGCAGTTTCGGCCAGGCTCTTGAAAGGGGCGCAGGGCGGATGACAGCTTCTCCTGGCAGTTCGCCGGTCTTGGCTTGTTGGGGGCTGGTGAAGGATCCAGAGACATGTGCACTCCATATATAGGCTGCATCAATTGGACTGCATCTTCAGAGACTGCATCTTCAGAGGTAGCTTGGAAAGTCTTGGGATTCTTCAAGACGTGGGGCTCCATGTCGTTTTACCATAGAGGCGTCAACCTTGCAAGGCTGAAGGACGTCTGTCTCACCCCGCCACAGGGCCAGCTGCACCGCACCCGCACCATGCACAGGCAACCGTGAGCGCCGTGGGATGTCTAGCCATGTTGTATGTTTGCAAGGGATATAGTTGAAGTAAGGGGGTTCGGAATGGGCACCGGTTCCGGCGCGCTATGGCCAGACATAGCAACGAGTTTCAGAGAGAGTCAAGTGGAGGATGCGCAGGTTCAGCTGCTCTCGACCTGAAAGCCCTCGACGACCACCCTGGAGAGGCCCAAAGACCCAATTATCAAGCTGCTAGCCATTCTCGAGCCTCCAGCGCGCGGCCCAGCAAGGGGGTATAGAGGAAGGCGCCTGCCGAAGATCCTCCACGTCCGATCTCTGCTTTCTAAGGCACTAACCCGCATAGTAAGTCGAGCAACTTGGTCTGCAAGCGCTCGTACTTCCGCAGCAAGAGAGGCCAAGCTGCTCACTCACGCTTCAAGTGGTGAGGCAACGCGGTCACGGACCTCCACGGTAAGCCTCTGCTTGAGGAGGTAGAGCAAGTCCAAAAACCAATCAAGATGCCAAGCAGGAGCCCAATCAAGAAGAGCCGCTGGTCCTCACCCTCCGGGCAGTCAGGGATGGAGCGCTCGAAAACAGGAACTGGGTCAGGAGCTGACCGCAAAACGCACTGACTTTGTCGCGTCAACACAAGGCTATTTCGCGATCCTGCACCAGCCCCTATTGCTAAGGGTTGGCTGTTACTCATACAGCTTGAACCCTCAAAGCTGCAGCACCGATATCAGCTTCGCCCGCGTGAGAACATAAATTTGAAAAACTGTAGGTCTTTGTAATTGTTGGCAATCACTTGCAGTATGCATATTGGTACTTTCAATCTATGGAGAACTTGGAGTAGCTTTATCTGGTTCGCCCTGTCATATTGGTCCTTTCAGTCTATGGAGAACTTGAAGTAGCTTTATTTGGTTCACCTTGTCAAATGCTTTCTCCCGTATAATAAGACAATTGATAGGTTAGAGCTCTGTTCTTCCGCTAGATCTAGCAAGCGTCTTGCTATGGATGGATATAGCTTGTGTGATAGATTTCTTTGGTCTAAAGCCATATTGAGTATGTTGTATCCGTGGATCGTACGTTGCTACTAAGCGTGCACGTATCAGGCTTGCTAGAAGTTTGTCAAACACCTGCAGGAGCGCAGTTGGCCTGTAGTTTTGCATTGGAGTTGCGTCACCTTCTCTAAACAGCTACTAGGTTTCAATTCTTGCAGGACTGTGGATCTACGCTGTTGTGTAAAATATCATTGTAAAGCGCTAGCATACGGTTTTCATTGGTGAGCAATTTCATTACTTCGGCTCTACATCCATCTGGACCGGGCGTTTTGTTGGACGCTTTTGCTCCGAGGTTGATAATTTGGCATTTAAACAGTCGATCCCTGTGGTGGAAACAGAGCAGACTTTGTTCCTCAGGACAGATTTTAATCCAACGGTGCGCCTTAGCAACGTCTAAGACGAGCGCGTACATGTCTTCCTGCGCGCCGCCTATGGGCAGACAGCGACGCAGATGCGGCAGAGGACCGTGTTCCAGGCACAGACCTGTCGACGACCAGACGCGGCGCCCGGCTAGGAGCTTGCACCAGACCCAATTTCCCACCGCGCGGGGCACTGGCTTTACTATCCCGCCCGGAACTTCAGCAATCCAGCCCTCACGCATCTCTTCTTCACCACTATCTCCTGATGGGAGAAAGCAGACTGCCACGCAGCAAGGGTTGGCGTCGGGCGGCAGCCCTGGCACCATCACTGGGCAGGGCTTGCGTGGCAGGTCAACCTCGCGTGGGACTCCAGCGCCAAGTTGATCTGTGAAGGAAGCGCCCGGTCTTTGCAGATCTCAGCGATGATACGCATAAGACGCAGCCTGAAAGGCTGAAGGCATGGACAGGCAGCGTGTCCAGACTGGATCCGACCAGATGCCTAGCAAAACTCGAACGTCCTGCAGAAATGGCTCGAGTCGGGTGGCTGACACAGGTGGAGTTTTGTCAAGCGATTGCAGGCGAGCTAGGATCTGAGGAAGTAAGCCGGAAGTCTGCAGAATCGAAATCCATCGTTGCGGCAAGGGACCCAGAGATTCCATATCCCAAGGCACAAACCAATTGGCAGAGCTGAAGGCACCGCAGCCGTCTTCCACACGATTGGGCTGTTTCACAAAGGGCAGACGCTGAGGTAGCAACAGATGCCAATCGGAGAATGGCACAACGCTGTCACCTTTAGAAAGGCCATCATGGGACACTTTGGCTACAGCGTCGGCGAGAGATTCAGGGTACAGAGGGCAGCAAGCCTGGTAATGAAGGCGCCGTCATGGCGCTTGCTTCCCAGAAACCGAAGGATGGGTACCCTTAGGCTAAGAACAAGATGAGGCAATCTGCAGGGTAAGAGGGTGATTGGAGCAGAAAAGCCAGTGTTTGAAAGTGTTCATGCTGCTGGCGAACGCAGCCAAATTGGCCAGGTAAGGCGTGTAGAGGAGCATCCAGGCATCAGCGCCTTTGGGCTTCCACGTGAGGCTGGAGGCAGGGTTCTCAAACGGGATGACCCCGCCCCGCATGGCTACCAGAGCCAAGAGCTTTGGAGAGAACTCATGCATCTCCCACTCTTGAAGCTGCTGATCTGTGAGCTGCGGCAGAGCGTCAGGGCACTCTGGAGCACGTACAGGTTTAGGCCCACCTGGCTTCAAGCGGGCAAGAGAGTAAGCAGCACAGGGCGGAGCGGCCAGAGCAAGTCCAACGATACCTGAAGCACAAAAGCTTGCGCAGACGCTCCTGGTTACCAGGAAACAAAGTCCACGCCAGAGCCACGCAGCAAGTCAATGGGCTGAACGCAGAGGACACCAAGCTTACGCAGAGCAGGCGCAGATGCACCTGAAAACAAATCCAGGAACACTGCAGGAAGGGACGCGTGCGCTGTCCCCAGAAGGCGCAGCGTGGTCATGAGACCCAGCGCCAGGAAAAACAGAAGGACCCACCGAAGAACAACAAGGCATGTTCTGTGGGGCAGGCGCCGGGGCATAAGCCCTGCGAGGACCGCGGGAGGGCCGGGAAACGGGCGCAAAAGAGGGCGCGGCAGGCTCTGAATTTAAGGTGCAGGCAGAGGAGCCCGAAGAACGGGCGCACTGCAAGCAGGAGGCCGGTCCTCGACCAGCTGGCGGAGCGAAGCCAGGTCAGGGCCCAGATGCCGCACCTCAAAAGGTCAAAGAATTCAGGGCCAAAAGGATCTCTTGAAATGTAGGGGCTGCCCACTCATGAAAGTATGCGATACAAAGGCGCTTGTTGCGCACGCAGGCACGAACGAACGAACGTACCCCACCAACCTCTTAAAAGATACAAGGTATCGATTGTAGGGCCCAAGGGGATCCCCCGCAGGCAGCCCAAGAACAAGCTCGGCAGGTGGACCCGACGCCAAAGTCAGCAGCACAATCCAAGACGTCAGGGCAAAGAGGGCACTCCAGAGGAGCAGCAGCTGGCAAAACGATCGGTGCCCTGGACAATTCCTCCGGTGCCCGGAGCACAAGCGAAGCAATGGACCCACTACGAGGCCTACCTGCAACTACCTGGCCATAAACCTTGACCCGAAAAGCTATACATCCGCACACCACATTATGCAAGTCAGTCCGTATACCATAATGTCCTTTCAATTAGAAGGCGAAGGTGGGGGTCAGCAAATGTCTGCGAAGTTTCTCGGCATCAGTGCCTCTTGTAAATTGCAATTGCAAGGCGAAGGAGGTTGTTTAAGCTATGTCTCCGGGCTTTGTCTCTGCTTCTGCCAAGGCCAAGGGGGTGGTTATCATGGGATCGTAGTCCATGATTCGGGGATGGTAATTCGTGATTGTACTTCGTGATTCGGGTGGCGTGTTCGCAAATGTTTGCAATTCAGGTGTCGTAGTTTGTGATTCGGGTATCGCAGTTCATGTTTCGGGAGATTTGTTTGTGATTCGGACGAACTTAGTTCATGACTAGTTCGTGGCTGGCAATTCGTGATTCGCATGTAGTTTGTGATTAGGTATTCGTTTCTGAAATTGCAAGACACGATTACAGCCTTGTTCTGGAATAGGTGGAGGCTCTTGACCGCCAAGGTGGACTTTGAGGTCCTGGAACTTGTCTTGCCGGTGCAGACACTAGGCCTCGCATCAATCATCATCAATCGGTCCTCGTACAGCTCGCCTAGAATCGGCTGGCTGTGAAGCGAAACAAACGCGTCCTGTCGCCAGTGTCGCGCAAAAGGGTTGCACGGCACTCACATGCTAAGGACTGGTGTCATCATAGGTTTCTGGCCCGTGTCAACTCATTGAGCTTGGCAATGTTGCAAGCATGTGCCCAGAACGAGTCATGCACCTAGCAGTCGCAAACACATTGTTGCAAAGTGAAGGTAAAAACTCTGTGAGGCTCCAACGGCGGCGAATGTGATACCCTCCCGCTCGCAGAGCTCAGCAACCATCATCATATGCGTGGCCTTGTGAAGCTGATCTTGGTGGATTTGGGGGGAAACTGTGTATTCAAGCCCCTGGCATCCAGTGAATGGATGAAGTTGGGAGGAAAGCCCATTCGTTGCTTCATCTTGCACGAGAAGGAGCGGACATGCATTAATGGCAAAAACTGCCCCCTCCCCGAACTTGCATTGGGTAGCTTGGGTAGGATTACTTCCGCATAAATGCAAAGCAGTAAGATGAGCTCCCAATGGTACGTAATTCTTGAATGCATCTGTACGTGACAAGTCGGCATGCATAGCTGAATCAACGGGTTTTCAATGCTGTTACACGATCCGTCGATATCTCGCCTTCAACGTCAGAGGCCAAGCAAGTGCTTTATATCTGCTGTTAACACATGCTTTTCGTGAACCCGTGTCGATCCCGAAAGATGTATTTAATTTGATTATAGTCCTTGGCATGTAGTAGTGGCCAGCCAACGACACAAATGGCCTTGCCCTTGTGTCCCGATGTGACACGCAGCTGCATGACCGCAGCCGTACAAAGCGTACTAGAGCTAGGAGTCAGGTTCTCAACAGAAGTCCTAACAGCAACCGCTATTCCATGCACTAGAAACAAGAACGTAGGATCAGAAAGCCATGAACAGCAAACAGCCTGAAAAATCTGGACCTCAGAGTCCTGTGCAAAATACTCTCGTTACAAGAGACAGGCCTGGTGTATCTGTGGGGTATCACCTGTTCTCAGCGTGACCTCAGGAAGCAAGGCCTGGCGATGTCTGCATCAGTCCGTGTACCAGAGCACGAAGACAGCAGCACTTGATTGGTACAGCCAAGGCTCATTCTGGCGCTTGCTTCGCACCACTTGCTTCTGCGGCTTCCGATATGGTTGTACGCAGTTTAGACCAATAGGTGATATCCACGCGTTCGGAGCCTGTCGAACTTGCTCAGACCATCGGCTCTGTCCATGCTGCAGGACCTGGCCTGTAGCATCGTGAACAGCTTCGTCACATGATTCAACCAGTCTTGGATTTTCTTCGCTTGTGCAAAGACCTCATCAATGGAAGCCAATACCAACCTGGCAAGGGGAAGCTTATGTTTCAAGCTGCTGGTGGACTTCACACCCCAGCAAGCCATGATGTCGGCTGAGATGCGATCCCCCCTGCCTGGACAAGTACTTCGCCAGCTGCAAGATCTCTTCTGGCTCGACCTCCAGCGAAGCCGAGGGCTTTAGGATACTCAAACCTGGCTGACGTGTGGACATGTTTGGACATGTTTGGACCTTGTCGCCCACCACGTCCTCAATCTGGCCCTGGACCTGCTTTCGAGCTCCGACCTGGCCAAACTTGTGACTGCAAAGCAAAAGCCTTTGGGAGCATGTCCAAAAGTCATGGATGGAGCAGAGGCAAAAGTCGAACATGGACTTTTTCTGCTCACAAAGCTCCAGCAGAGGAGAGGAAGACCGCTTCACTGCCAGGAAATCAGCATCTTGGCAGGGTCAGGACATCATTTCCCGTGTGCCTCTATCAAGCCATCATTGATGAACTGCGTCAATGCCTTTACTGATGGGTAATCGAACATCAGCGTGTTTGGCATGGTCAGGCCGACAAAGTCTTTTTGAATGGCATTGCCAAACTCAACAGCGGCCAGGCTGTCGAGACCAGCGTCCATGAGCGGTTCGTCATTATCCAATGACTCAACTCCAATAAGGGACAACGCTGTGTCACGAACCACTTCCTCAATCTCGGCCATTGTAGGACCTTTGCAGAAAACGCACATACGATTACCAGCTGTCAAGACATCAGGGGGTTGTGCTCCTAAAGTATGAGGCTTGCCAATAGCACATGGAACAACACAACATGTCCAGCCTTTGTAGGGCTCTGCCTCCTTGACCTGCTGTGACGCCTGCGGAATCGCCATCTGCATCGGCTGCATTGCCTGCATTGGCATGGCCTGCTGATTAAAAGCCATTTGCCGGCGACGGGCTCCTCCTGGTTTTGGACGAAGCTTCCTGACCATGCGAGTCCTTCTCTGTCCGCCTCCTCCTCCTGCTGCACCGCTCTGCACTCTCACAGCCTCGCTCTTCTCGTGAGCTTCCCGCATGCTAGAGTCCAAGAAGCTTGACAGCTGTTTGACTGAGGGGAAATCGAACATAAGTGTTGATGGTAGCGCTACGCCAGAGAATTCTTTGGCCAGCGTGTTTCCAAACTCCACAGCAGCCAAGCTATCAAGCCCTGCATCCATAAGTGGCTCATCTGCATCGAGAGACTCCACACCAATCAAGCTCAGAGCCACATCACTGACTGTTTCCTTGATCTGGTCCGGATTTGGCCCGCTATATGGTTGAATTTCGACGGGCCCACCGCCACCGCCTTCTTCGATCACCTCCTCTTCCCAATATTCCTCCATCTCTTCATCGCCCTCAGCGGCATAGTAGCGTGGTCCGCCTGTATCCGTTGGTCGTACACCTATGGTCTTTGGTGTAAGTCGCTTCAGGATGGCCTGCGCTGCAGCCTCACCAGAATCATCCCGTTGCGCAGTAAACAGCTGCAGTGCCTGGTTTGCCAGCTCTTTGGCCTGTCAGGGAGACATCATGTTTCGCTTTGTGCCTGTCTACCATCCCGCCTCTGGATGGGACTTGGCACCCTGGAATTCAGCCAGCTGCGATTTGACAAGCAGGAAGTGGGCTTCCGCAGAATTGTCACTGATTGTCCTCACAGGCCATCTCATGCTGCCAAACACCCCAAACAACACTTTACCCAACGAAAGGTCACCTGCAAGCCCATTGCAATCTTGTTTGCAATCTTGCATCTGCGCCAAGGGAAGCCCTTCTTCGATGGATTTCGCTGCTGCGTCGGGCTCTAAGCACATCATCTGCGCCGTGGCGAGTGAAAGCCTCGACTTTAAGACAGAGCGCACCAAACGCATGCAACCAAGTCAACTTTAGGGGTCTCAAAGACGAATGCCGCCAGGCTGCAGCGCTCTGGACAGGAGCTGCTCATCCTAAGTCTCACTTCAATTACCACAATCTGCTGACCTTTCATTCCTGTCTAGCAACGCCTAGGGCCAGACCCTGGACGGGTTTTGGCCGAGCTTCCTCCTGAGGGCGCGATAACTGAAGGGCATCCTTCGCAGCTTGAAGGGCACGTTCAAAAGCTGCTCTGGCTGGTCGTTCCTGGCTCTCGTCCTTGCAGCGCATTGTAATAAATCCGAGGTGGTGTATATCCAGCCAGCATTTGCTCTCTGCCCATCTTACGACCTTGCCTCATCATCACCTTGAAACCAATCGCTGTTTGTGCCACTCGCTCCAACCTCATCAGCTCAAACATGTTCCTGAACTATACCAAGAGTGTGGGTATCCGTCAACAATCGGTCTCCTGAACAAAGCGCATGAACTGGTCGTCTTGAGCAGTTGCTGAACAGGCGGGTGGGTACTTTGTAGAGGCAAGCAGCATGTGATGGGTATGTAGTTCGCTCAGCCTGGTCTTGTGGGTTCAGCTTTTCACCCCGCCCGTTTGGTTGGCCAGCTAGTTACTTGCCGACGCCGAGGAGTTGCTGAAAGAAAGCTACAGATCAAAAGGCGCGGCGAAGGAAAGATAAGGGCAAGAAAGAGAGCCTAACGGAGGTTGACGCAAAGTACGACCTGCGTATGCAGTCTCTGAGTATGATAGTGTCAAGACTTACGGATGTCCGTCGGGCTGGGCTCCGTGATTTCTCCTCGCTTGATTGTGTTCTTTTGAGTTGTGTCTTTCCAGCGCTGGTTTGGTCATGTTGTGACGGTGAATCATATGCAGCATCTCCAGGGTTGCGCCGCCGCAAGTCTGAGGATGTCTGAGGGTGCTTGCAGGATAAGTTCAAGCTTCATCCTTTTCTGCCTTCGGCTAAACCTCCAAAAAACTAACCTGTTGCGTTTGCATCCTCCTGCCCCATGTCTAGGGCCTAGAAGCCTCGTATCCTGATTTTCTGTCCGCGTGTGACAACTTCCCGACCAAAGTCCATGGACAAATCTTGTCATGCTCCATACGAGGCTGAATGCTTGCAACTCCGCCGTTCGGCTTTGCAAAAACAACTCTGGGATCATTACGGGCTCTTGAACCTTTCCTTCGCTTCTGGCCTCAACGCAGTGAGATCATGCTCTGCCATAAGCGTCCATGCCCTGAATTCAATGATTCAAAACTCTGCCAGGCCTTCTCCTCCTTCGCTTTCGCTCGACGATCTAATTCCTGCTTCTCCTCGTCCGACGCTGCTGACAGCAAGGTCTGCGCCAGCTGAACGCACGCCCACGCTTCACTTTTGCGGTCACCCATTTCGCGTTGCAGCTCTCGACACCTAAGCAAAGCTTCAAGGGAGGCCAACCTTCGGTGAAACATCAGCTCCTCGAACGGCGCCTTCTTGCTGCGGCAATTGCTCGAGGAAAGTCGTTCAGGTGTAGGCGAACTTCCGCCTCAAAAACACGACAGGCATGGATCTGCAAGGACGTAGAGGTTTTGCATGTTTTTGCTAAGCAGCAGCTTCAGGCTTCGAAGCGCAACTTCTGTTGCGAATTGCTTTGCTCACGAATGTGGGGCTACGACCCATCCACATTTCCATGCTGCAGCAGGCCACGTGTAGGTACCCGCGCAGCGTACAAGCAAGACCAGTCTGACAAGAGCATCAACAATCAACTGATGATAACCTCTGCAAGCCAACAGATCAATGAAGGCCTGCGCAAACCACTACATGACTGTGACAGAGCTACACGCGGAGCCATGGTTGCATGGCCAAATTGCAGTTTGAATAGTTTGAACCTTGTGCTTTTGCATTCTGAATTATGCTCAGTTGGGAACCACGCCTGCATTCGCAGAGCATCTGCCTCACCTTCTCGATCACCCACTGAATTGAAGATGCGCTGTGACTCGACGGTGACAGCAGCACCTTCGTAAGATGGCGAATGGAATTTTCCGAGCCCTTACATCCATTCCCGACAGCCTCTTTTGAGCTCACCTCTGGCACAATATGCAGAGCAAAGCTGCAGTAATGCAGAGGCCTGGCAGGGATGGCAAGGACACCTAGATTTCCTCTCTTGGGGAACATGTGTCACTCTCTTCGTTTCTAGACTCTTCTGCCCACCGGCCTCCCCTTTCTTCGTGCCTGTCTTTCTCGACAAGTCACGGGATCTCATCGCAGCTTTCAATCCAAGGCGGTTTTCTTTCTTAAGCAAGGCCAGCTCCGATTGCAGCAAGTAAGCTGCTGCTAACGACTTGCGGTCCTGCACAGGCATGAACCCCCTCCCGTGCCCTGCTGGTGAAGCACAATGCGGCTGGTTTTCCAGTCCTTTTGCTCATTGGCAGCTGTGATGGTCTGATCGATGACTTTTGCAGAATTGTCCAGATCCTCTGCTCTCAGGTAGATCTTGGCCAGCGTCTGAAGCAAGTCAATCTCCCAGCATTTCAGGAGCCGAGAGGGCGGCCGCCTTCGGACTTTTCGTAGCGTTTCCTCTGCCACTTCGGCAGCTTGTCGCATGCGCTGAGAGTTTACGTAAACAGAGACAATCGAACTCTGCGCAACGATCTCACTCTCGAAGTCCGCGTTCCTCTGAAAGGTTTCAAGGCGTTCCTGGGACAGCTTCAGAGCCTCGTCAGTCTTACCCATGGTCAAGTAGGCATTTGACGCGTGGATCAGGGCAGCTGCAGATCTTGCTGGGACAGCGCGATCCACTTTCTCTTCGCGCTGAATTTTCTGCTCTAGAGCCGCCTGGGCAGCCTCAAGCGCCTGATAGGTGAACAAGCAATTCTTGCAAAGCGACCCACAAGCAAGTGTCACTTGCATTGCCCGCCTCCTCAGGCCTATGCCGGACAAGCTCCCACTCGCTCACACACTCTTGCTGGAATGCCTGCAGCAAAGCTGCGAAATGCCTGTGCAAACCTGCACATGTTGACTGCCTCCAAACGGGCGTAACCAAGATCACGCCAGTAGGAAACCAATTCTCGCGATCTTGCGACTGCTTCGTCAATGTTGTTCTGGAAGGACAGCGCGACCTGAAATATGTGAATTGCACAAACTACACGAACGCGCAGGCAGAATCGCCAAAAGACGTATTCATAAGGGCCCATATAGGGGCTGGGGGAACCTAGGGAAAGGAAGAAGGCTTGGCTGTCAGTGTGAATTTGGCAGCTTCCGTGTAAATCACAAAACTGCAACCATGCGGGCCGAAACTAAAGGCACAAATCGGCAAACGCTATGGACTCTAGCAAATGGCAAACACAGAACGAATGCGAGACTTGCATGACAGAGGTGAGTTCATGAATGAGAGGCTGAAATGCGCTGGTGGCAAACATGGCAAGGCGGTAGCGACAA